GCTGACAGCTACCACTAAATGTTTTGATCTGTATCTATTAAAATTCTTACACACATGCTTATCAGCAATATACAAAGTTATTCCATTATTCAGCACTCTGTCTTGTTTATAAAAGCTTTTGGTGGATACCTTTAAAATGTGTAATGTTCTTTTCTGATGGATTTGGTGGGTGGAGCAGGAGGTCTGTCTCAAAGCCCTTGCAGAGCATCTCCAGAGCAATGCGAGTAAGTTTGTAAGCAAAGCAAACCCAGCTGTTTTCCTCCTTTGCCATTATATGTTTTAAACAGAAATGAACACAGCAATTAACCTTTAGATGTTATCTTCAATATTGAGTTTTGTGGCTTTGAGGATTTAATTTGGCTGAAATTAAAAATAACCTTATCTGTACAAATGTAGAATATAAAACTCTTTTCATTACTTTTTACTGAAAATGTACGGATTGTGAATTTTTGTGTAGCTTAGTAACGTTTTTCTTTAAATCATAGAATTATTACTGTAACCGTATTCTGYGATTTCCCTGAGAGCTGAGCATCAGGTGAGGGATGAGCGTAYGTACGGTTTTTGTGACTGTCTCAGCGTGAGGCCGATTGCTGATACCTGCTGCACCATCCCGCTTCCCCGCCTGCGGTAAGGGAGCAGCCGCCTGTTGACGGGGTGGGAGATGTTAATAATCTCCTTCTTCAGAGATGCTAAAAGGAGGCAGCAAAGATTGAGTTTGCTCAGTTTTTAGTAAGTGTCCCACTGAGCACATTTTCCATCACATCTCTTTGGGTGAAGATACTTTGAAAACTTTGTAGTGAACTACCTTCATATTCTGTCTGTGACTTATGGCCACAAACCAACATGGTCATTTCTTTTCACTCTGAAAAAATGAAGTATTTCTGTGTAAATTTATTACAGAAATGAAACTCCAGAATGCCTGTAAAAGAAAGTCCAAATTTATGCTGTCCAGTAACTTATATAAAATACGCTAGTACAGGCTTGTGCTTTTTCTTTCTGATCCTGAAATGATCCCGCTCTCAGAGCAGCTGGTTTAATTGCTAGCTCTGATAAACCCCTGTAGAGGTTATAGAGAAAAAAGAAACACAGAACAGTGAATCCTTCGTAATGAACACAGAAATAGCTTGTCCCATGCGCTCACATGTAAATGGAGGCTCCAATCTCAGCTGAAAAAATAACCCACTTTGCAGTACGTGTCTAACCAGCTATGCGTGTGAGCTTCGTTAAGCACAGCAGCAGGCTGAGCGCCACGCCTTGTCAAACGGCGCGAAACAAGATGGATAAAGTAGCAGCAGCTGCGAGCGTTGGGCAACGCTCTCGCCTTGCATCCCGGGCTCAAAAGTTCAACGTTGCCTTGGTCCTTTGTGCAGCACGAGCTGCTGGGAATAGCCGGGCTCTACCGCGGCGCCTCAGCTGCTGCCTCTGCCGTCCGGGGAACGATCTGCCCAGGACAGGGTCGAGGAGTGAGCGGCTGGAATTGGAACCAATAGATTTCACTTGCAGAGGAAAATACACTGCTGTGGCGCTGACTCCCCGGTGCTCTCTGCTCCTTGCCAAAAGCCTATCCTTAGTGCTGATTAAAATGTCTGTAGCAGTCGACAGTGAGTATTTTTGTACTAGGCTTTCTCTTCTGTCAGTCAGTGCTATTTAGAAGTTGATTTTGTATTTGGTTCACAGGAGGGGTAACGGAGACTCTCTTGAACTGGCAGAGAAAACTCCTCCTTGCTGTGACCAAACCAAAAACAGGCAAGGCCAAGGCACAGCCCAGACACCAGGAACATGAGGTTACATGTTGTATGTGAGACACTAACAAATTAATCCATTACTGAGTACAAGTTTATCTTCTCTTGTGCCTATTATCAAGTATTTCCAGGTGCATACATATTCATAAAGTGTAAATTAAAATGACTCTACTATTAACAGCAAGTTCACATAGTACAAGGGCTGTAAGACAGTATTTTTTCCCATGTCGCCAGCAAAATACTGAAATATTCATAAAATTAAATATAAAAGTGAGTAATCTCCCTGAGTAATATATTCATTTTTCAGAACATTACAGTAGCGAAAAGCAGTCTCTGTAGCAAACCAACACACGGCCCCGTTAGGTGATTAACGACCCCGTCCTGCGAGGCGCCACAGCCCCTGCCACGTCGGGGTGCACGGGAGTCCTGAGAGCAGCTGCGCTGCTCACTGGCGAACTGCCCGGCGCCCCGCGCTGCGCCCAGAACCCAGCCTGGGCGCAAGCTCCTTTCTTGCCGTAGACCCACACTGGCTGCGTGGGGTTTGGGGCAGTCCCAGACCTCTGCTGAAGCTCATTTCTCCCTTTTGCAGGTTACTGGCGTGGAGGATTGAGGCAGGTCCTGTGCAAGGAGCACCCTGGAGAAGGGTCCACTTCCCGGGTGCCTGGTCTTGCTTTCTGCAGGTGCAGAGATGCAGGGTTTGGGGTTTYCTGTAGCTAGTGGAATAAATGTCTTAGGGTGATAAATATATAAATCTTTGAACAAAGTATACAGTATCTGGGAGCAAAGGGTGTCTTTCAGTTGTGCTTGGTTTTGTTTGGTGKTTTTTAAACTGCAAAGTCTTAACATCCTTAATGAAGGAAAGGGCAGTGGTGAGCAATCCCACTGCAGACCATGGGCTCCTGGTGAGAGAGCAGCTTTGGAGGAGCCATTCAGGCTATGCTGAATCAGCGGGAATTATTATGTATTCTGAGACATATTCTTCCAGAGCTTGTAAAAACATGCTCAGTGATCCAAATTGGCAGCTGGGATTCTCTCCTGCTCAGGTTTATCCCATGAGCCATGCTCGCCTCGTAATCCCTGCACATCAGCCTGATCAGCAAGCTGGAGCGCTGGTCACTGCAGCACACGGGGAGTGAAAATGAAATTCCTCCACCTTCTCCAGCCAAACACATTGTTAAGGAACAGACACCTTGGCCTCCTGCTATACACAAACTGCTCGCGGATGAGCTAAAATCCCTTTCACCAATTCATAAAGGAAAGGTATATTTTAAATGTGTTTTCTTGGAAGCAGCTTTTAACCATCTCGGAGTCCTCCAGGAAGGAGACTGCAGATGGAAACTGCTATTTTGAGAACTCAGATGGCCCAGTTAGGAAAGGACAATTTTTCATGAGCTGTTCTGCACAGACTTAACAAGGTGATGTGGCCTCGTCTTTCTCTGCGTGCGAATATTCTTAGCTCCTGGGAGACCAGGTTACAGCAGTTGGTTTCCTTTCCTTGCTTGTTTTTAAGTGAGCAGCTGAGACTTGCCCCCTGATCGAGTTTGCGGTATCGAAAGAAGGCTGCAGGGTGTGGATGGCAGGCAGATGATATGTGCAGATTTTATAGGCTTGCACTGTTCAGTGGCATTATATAAGTAAAACAGGAAAAGCAGAACTCCGAATGCGCTTTGGGTACTTCTGATCTCAGGCCTTTGTAAAAACTTTTGTCTGTCTGAAATGCAGCAGCGTGTTTCTAGGTGACTGGGGGAATGCAGCTCGGGAACCTGTGACGGGGAATAGACCCGTGTATGGTTTTGAGCTTTATATTTAATACCAATAATGAAAGATTCAACTGGCTGTCACTAGGCTTGAATAAAGCACCTGTCTTAAGCCGTGCAGGAAGGTGCTTCTGCCACATGGCACCCTTGTGTGTCCTTTGCCTGTGGCGTGGAGCTCGTGTGGCCGTTTGTGCAGCCTCGAAGGCTGCAAAGGGCCACCAGCTCCCGGCTCTTTCACCGGGAAGCCTGACATTTCCCATCCTCGTCACAGGTACCGGAGCTGACAGGTCGTACGATGGTCTTTAAAATTGTTGTTGCTTATTTTGGAAACCTTTTTTTTGACTTTGCTGCATAGTTTTTAAGTGAACTGTTGAAAGCTGCAATGTATGGACTAAGGAGCAAAGAGCTTTACAAGTTTCCAAGCAGTGCAGCCTGGCTCCAGGTACTCGTGGTTATAAATTGAAAGGCACATACAAGCAATTCAAAAAAAAATATATTCTTGTATTTAAATGAAAACATCTCATTGCCTTGGGCAAAAACCTTCTTCTTAGTTCCCACAGGCAAGGAAAATAATTCAGATCTAGGCAAGAAGAGAACTGTAGGTGTTTTGCACTTTAGCTTTGTTTGTCCTGGAGCAGCTCAATGTGAATTTGAACTTTAGCTTCCTATGCCTTCAGTCTTGAAAGGCCAGTTGTAATTTTCCCTGGTGCTGGATCCCTTTGTAGTCCTGCACGATGGACTGATTGTTATTATTACTTAATCACATGGTATCAATTTAAGTATACTTTGTATCAACTTAAAATTAATAAAGATTTTATATTTTAATCTACTGTGCGCTAAAACATCACCTATGAAAGTCAAATTTCAGACATGCGGAAAAAAAAATTGTTCCTGAAATGTTGGAATTTCCGTAGATTCAGTCAATATTCCGTTTTTGTGCCTGAGCTTGTTGYTAAGCAGGCAGCAGGTCTAGTCTTTCCTGTTTGAATTCCGGTGCCGGCTTGTGTGTTGCAAAGCAGACAGCAGTCACTTTCGCCTTGAGGGTGGCCAGCGCGCAGTAAGGAGAGCTGCAAATGTCGGTAAAAGTCCTTCATTTATCTTGTTAGGTTTTCATCTCTGTCCGAGCAAATGAAAGCAAGGAGCTTGTCTGATCAGTGCAAGTGGTTAGAAATTGGAGAAGGGATTTTCAGGAGGCAGAGAAGCAATTCCTTTGGGGAGCTGGCCGGAGACCTTTCTGTCAGGTGCAAGTGTCAGGAAATASAGAGAGGTGTCCGGGTCTGTCCCCTCGGTACCAGTCTCTTTAGAGTGTCCTGCTCGGGTCAGGGTTTGGTTTCCTCCATGTGAACAACAGCTACGAGCAGATCCTGGAGCCCGGGGAGCCCTGCAGCAGAGCCGCCTGACAGGTCATGGAGCTCGTACTGCGCTGACTTGTGTGTTGTGGCCCATTTCTAACATTTTGCTCTCTYTTTCTGTCATCTTTTACATGCCTTCTTGGGTATAGCAGACCACTTAGGAATTGAATTCATGGGTAAGTTTTCACTTCTCTTTTTCTCTTGCTAATGTTTATCTCGGTACCTTAACCCAAAGCACGTGGGAGTTGCTGAGAAGATTCTCATCAACTCCACCAGTGGATTTGGGCGTTCAGAGCAGTCCCTGTTTATTTGCTGGTTACAACTGAAATTGTTTCAGGATTTTGCATTTTACTTGTTCATCGATAGAGGGCTAAAAGCTACATAATGACATTTGGATATTTTATTTATCTTTAATGAGGCATAATGTAAAGACTGTATGGCCAGATCGTGATATCTGAGGCGTAATATCTTATGTGAGATTTTAGGAGAGAGTTAGTGCCTGTCTTGATGTAAAAGAAAGTAAATTTTAAGCTTATTTTTTTTCAGAATTGGATTTTGACTGTAATATTAAAATGTAACTAGGTTTAATATGAATTATTTTATTTGCTCTTAACAGACACCATAGAGGAATATTTTTAAGAAAAATGACTAGTAAGTTAACATCGGTTTAAGCAAAAACTTAAATAAGAATGAATGATTAATCAGAACTRCTACTTATAAGTTTAGAAGGGAAAAACTGTTCTCCTGACTAAATGCTGCCCTGTAACGTGTACATGGCCTGAGGTGCTGGCAGGCTTCATAGGTCAACAGCGCTTCACCGTTTAGCTGCTCTGCAGCAGGGAAGAGTCAATTCTCCTCACAAAGCTGAGCTCGTCCTTGGTGCCCTATTTGTGCAGCAYAGCTTGCATGAACCGTGACCAACAGCACAAGCGAAGAGCTTGCAAATACATGTGGAAATCATAAAAGTTCCTTTCTAGTATGTCATTTATTTATATTGTGTTGTACCCAGGTTTTCTTGGAAGTTCACAAACTTATATTAAGGGTGATAGGAGATAAAATAATGATAAAATGATTAGGGAGATTGTGGAGAACCCAAAATCCAGAGGAAGTTTTAATCACTGGTTTTGTCACCAATTAGTGTGATAATCCCTATATATTCATTAAGACTTTTTTTTTTAAGGTTAATTTTTGATTTATTGAGTATGAACTTGCAAGTCTGTACCATAAAACAGGAGCATTGAAAGCCAATCCACAACTGCGGTTGTGGTTGAGCAGCCCTGCTCCTTACGTGTGCCAGCCTGTAACCAGTCAGAGCAGCTTGCAAACAACCCCGGTGCATAACCGGGGGCCTGCGAACCCGGCACAGTCCATCTGAAAATTATATATTCTGTACAGGTGAGCCTTGTAATTCCTTAATTCCACATTCAGCCTTCAAAAGCCTCCCGGTGTCTGCTTTTGAACAGGACAGAGGGCACATAAATCCCCGTGGGTTTTATAAATCCCCGTGGGGGCGATGCCAGCAGATAGAGAAGAGGCAGCGGCCGGGGCGGCATGGTCGGCCCCTTCTCGGGGTCCCTGGGGACAGAGCGGGGCCGCCCGCCCGCGGCAGCAGCAGCAGCAGCTCCCGACGCGCTGCTCCATGCACCCCGGCACTCCCGATTGCAGCCAGCCCGGCCCAGCCTCTGGCAACAGCCCAGGCAGCGCCCGAGGAAGCCGCTGTAGCCTCGTAATTGTCAGCGCCCGTGCGGGGATTCTCCAACACCCCGAGCATGAGTTGTCTCCTTRGACCCGTGTGGTGGTGAATATTAACTGTGTGCAGGGCTGTAGTAATGGGAGGGCTAGCCRCAGTCTGAGGGATTTTCACCTTTGTTTTTGTATTTGTGGGGCATATGTGAAGAGCTGTCTCCTGGCTTGGGTTTCCAAGTAAAGAGGAGACACCAACTATCTGAAATGGAACTTTTTTTTTTTTTTTAAATTACTTAGGAAGCCTAAGCAGAGCTAGAGTCTTTGCTGAATAAATACCAAGGTACAATTCTGTGCTTCTTTGTATGCAGAGGCATCAGGTGGCAATGCACACTCATAAAATTAGGAAAGCCTTTGTAAAGTCTTTCTCATGAGTGTACCATAGTACTGTAGAAAATGAAATTGCAAGGAATGAGAAAAGTAGAATTATTCCAATTACCAAAAATAGCAGCATTTAAGTGTTGCAGAGCTTAGCCTTTATTGTACATTATGTAGGGCATGTTCTTCTTAAGTTTTCCTTGTATTTGTGGGCTCATGTGCTTTAGGAATCCCATTTCTGTCATCTGACTAGAAATTCTGCTTTTGAAGATCCCCTGTTCTTTGAGGAACAGAGCGTTAACCTTAACTTTTAAAGCAGAACTTTTGCATTTGATATCTTCCTTTAGATTTTTGAATATTAGTAAAGAAGCAAGGGAYGATACTGTAGCACCTTTAGTTAAAAAAAATTGAAAATGAGTAAAATGAAAAAATAATCACGAGCTCCATACGGAAAGTGAAGTGACAATGTGGACACCTGCCCTAGTTTTGGAAAGTGCTTTCACGGACCCCTCGTGTAAGGGAGTCCTGAGGATTGATGAGGGAAAATTGAGCTCAGTGCACAGCAGGTAAAGCAGAAATGCCTGATGTGTGGATGGGAGCGTCTCTTGGCAGCAATGCCCTCGGGGGGCCCATGCCTACTCTTTTAGGCATCTGTTTTCCACAAGTTGGTTTGATCCTTTTCTCAACCTGCCAGTACTGTTTTCCACTACAAGCTCCGGTGTCAGCAAGGCTCAGAAGTTTGTAGCTTGTCTGCTGTGTGAAGGCAAACGTTGCCATGACCTGTTTAAACCCTGATGYTTAACGAGGCAGTCATTGTCACGTGCAGGATTTGGTGAACAAGAGTGAGGCAGGTGGCTTATCCAGCACGTGGACAGTTTTGCCAGCCTGGCATGTTCCTGAGCCACCTCCCTCTTTCAGGTAGTATCTACCTTATTCTAGTAGTTAGTATCTAATATCCAGCAGTTCCRTATGCTACTGTATACTCCCAAACATGCATGCCTGTTGCGCTAATATTGTTGTTGGCTTTTGTTGCTGGCTTTTTGTTGCTTTGCAGTGTCTTCTTCTTTATATGTTTAGCGAGAGAGAGATGTGGGCATTTGCCCGGAGCTCCRGGGCAGGAAGGCAGTTGGTGCCCCAGACAAAAGACTTGGCGCTTTTGCCCATTTTACCCGTTCCTGAGAAGCAAACGTGAGCACAGCTAAGGTGTGTTGGGAGGTGGAGTGTGAAGGTGAGAGAGTTTTTGGCAACCTGCTGTAGTACATGAACAAATAGGACCATTTCAGCAATTCATCCACAACACTGGCTTTGATAATGCAGAATCTTTGTCCCCTGCTTGAAATGTGGTATACAGTGGATGCAGATGAAAATAAAATGCCCCACGCAAGCACAGCAGGCAGACTGCTAGAGTTTTGATGGAAATACGATCATGATGTGAAATTGTTGTCATCTTTTGCCCATTTAGCAGTTAAACCAATATCAGGTGTATAAACCAAAATCACAGTTATGATGTTAATCTTCATCTCACCGTGTGTAGATTGCAAAATTAATATAGCAGTTGCAGAGGAATGAGTTGGTGTGAACCTGGAAAACCAGATGAGTGATATTTTAGCTTTAGGAAGCTGTGATATTCAGCGCTTGTTCAGGAAATAAATGTTATTTGCAATTAATTCCCCTTTCACAGTTAATTAGAAGAAACTTCACTGGAGTCAGTGAGATAAGAATGATATACTCCTTGTAAGTGAGGAATCATTAAATAATATTTATTTGAACAGAAAAAATAATTCAGGACTATTAAAAATTACCCTTTATACTTCTTATTGCAATGACTACAATGTAGAAGTTATAGGAGAAGATAAATCCTTTATTTTTATTTACGCCACGTGCTCTAGGTGACCCTGCGTGAGCAGGGGGGTTGGACTCGATGACCTCTGAGGTCCCTTCCAACCTTCGGCATTCTATGATTCTATTTTGCGGATTCTCTCTATTGCCTCGTTTTGACCATACGGTGGTCTTAYGCCTAAGGCTCAGGGAACACATGTTAGAGTAAATTAAATCTACTCTATGACCTTTTGTTGTTCACTGTGACAGATCTCTTGATTTTGTCAGGACACAAAGGTTGGTTTTGCTGATGGGCAGTATAACCAAGATTGAAAAATTGACTATTTTGGCTGTTTGGACAAGAAATACAAAGGCAAGTTCCTTGATTCCTCTGCAGCTCACAAAATGTGCAGTTGAGGAGCTGGCCTTCAGTTYTGCAGGAGCAAACAGGCAATGAAAATGGATACCAGCGTTCACCTCCATGCCTCAAGCCTTAGTTTTAGACTTCAGTGTATAAGTAACATGCTCTAATTTAGCATATGTGTTAGCATATAATTTATTCTACTCTTAGAAATCTCCATAACACTCCCATCATGACTGGAAGAGGGGATACACATTGTTTTACATGACCAAGGAATGTCTGTATTTTAAGGGACATTCATTTGAAAATGAAGCTCAGCTCTCCCTGTGTGCCACTTTAAAGTATAACTCATGGCAAAGTATATGATGTTCTTAACTGTAAGCATTTGAAATACTACCTCCTATCACTGTGCTCCTCCCTTAAATTCCAGGATTGCTAATAGCGTGTCTCTGGGTAGGGCCTGATGCTCGCAACATGTAATACTGTTGTTGTCACTTCTCCTTCAGTCCTGTGGTTCTTCACCCTGTCCAAACTCTCAGTACCTTTTTTCATTTTCCCCGTGTTGAACTTAACAGCGGCTTTGCTCTTGGGACTAGCTCATTTTGTTTGCTCAGTGAAACACCCATCCTTTTTAGGTATGCTGCAAAATAATTCTAGCATCTGGAGGCATGAAACAGCTTTGAAGCTTCAGCACTTCCCACAGGTTGCTCTGAAGAAGGAGACATGAACCTTGGAAGAAAGAAATGAATAGAAAGACCTGACATATGTGCATTATGAGAGTACTGGATAAAATGGAGGCTTCCTCAGGGACATGGGAAGCCCTGCCATAGATGTACCTCCTGGAAAAACGGCACTTCAAAGCCGAAGGCTGAAGTGCATCTGGGGAACATGTTGGAGGCCACTGTACAGTCTGTGGAGTCTGTTTTGGGAGTACAG